GTAAGTTAGACACAGCTCTACCACCACTCTGGCTACGCCTACGGCTTGATTGGTTTCGAGCGGGAACCCGAAGGGAAACTTTGAGGCGCGGTCCACCACGAGCAAGATGTGGTTGTTGCCGGTTTGCGATGGTGTGTCGATCTTGAGGATGTCCATATGCAACTCGTCCCACGGCTCAAGCGGTCTACCTGCCATCATGGCTACTTGTCTGCTGGGCGGTCTCTTGCGTCTACGACAGGCGCGTGACAACACATAGTGTCGAGTGTCGTTCCTCATCGCGGGCCAGTGGAAATGATCGCGCAGAAGGGACAGCGTTGCTCCTACTCCTGCATGACCATGTAGCGTGTGTACCAACGCAATGATGTCAGCAACCATGGCGACTGGAATGCAGGCAGTTTTCTTCCCTTACCATCGTTGTACCGAATCACATCATCCGCGCCTAGGCTATACCTGTCACGCTCACTTCCCCCCTGGCTAGAGTCAACTACATTGCTCAGAACCTTGCGAGCCTGACTCAGATGGGTGTCGTCTCGTTGCCGATGCGCTAGCTCGGACGGCCTTGTGAGTACTCGTGCTGTCAGATCGATGGCTGATGCTCCATCCGACGCGTGGCTCGACGACGACGTCGGAACCTCCCCCCGTGCAGCCAGCACCTCACCGATGTCGTCGTGGCCAGGTCGAACGGGAGACGGCGGTAGTGTCAATGGCGACGGCGCCAGAGCGGAGGGTTCCACCGCGGAGGGGTCGATGACCTCTCTGTCCGGGAGGGCCTCCAGTACACTTGTCGGGGGCAGCTGCGCGTCGCCGATCTGTCGTAATCGTACCGAAGGGGTGTTGGTAAATCAGTGGCTTCTGGAGAAGAATATTGTATGAGTGAGACCTAGGTATGGAGAGACAGGTCGGAAAGTGGAGTGAGGACAGGGGGCGAGCGTGATGCTCCCAGCTCCCAACGTCTCCTCCGGATAGATGCACACTCGGAACACAAAGCAATATTTTGTGGACTATAGAGCTAATGTGAGAAACAACAACAACAACAATACCAACGTACCGACTTATACCTACGGTCCGTTGTACGATCCTTACGTGTGTACAATCTACCGAACCACCACAAAGAGTATTCGCAGAACACTCGGCATGACAACCTACGATCGACAGTTCTGCAATTAAAAATATCCAATCAGATGTTCTACCGCAGCTCAGGCGATACATAAGGCCGCTACCACGAACACCCTCCCTAGGGGGCTTTTGTGTCTACCAGACCAAATACATTTACTTCGCATATATGAAAAAAAAAAAAAACAGACTTCTACTTCCTTGAGCCTAATACAAAGTCGCGGTGAACTTCAAAANAATATCCAATCAGATATTCTACCGCAGCTCAGGCGATACATAAGGCCGCTACCACGAACACCCTCCCTAGGGGGCTTTTGTATCTACCAGACCAAATACGTTTACTTCGCATGTATGAAAGCAAAACAAACAAACAAAAAATCAGACTTCTACTTCCTTGAGCCTAATACAAAGTCGCGGTGAACTTCAAAAAGGTCTCTCGGCAAAGCCTTCGTGAGGATGTCAGCATGCTGCTCCTCGCTTGGGACATGCGTGACCTCGATAACACCCTCCTCTGTCAAATTCCTAAGGAAGTGATGCCTCACATCAATGTGCTTACTCCTACTCGAGCTAAGCGGATTCTCTGCGAGCGCAATCGCTCCTTCGTTGTCCTCAAGGACGTCTATCTTCCGAGGCTTCGCACTAGGTCTCAGGAACTGAAGCATTCCATTCACAAACAGAGCCTCCTTTACACCGTCACCCATCGCAAGATACTCTGCCTCAGAAGTCGACTGTGAAACGCATTTCTGCGTTTTAGAAATCCAAACCACAGGCATCGAAGCCACAAGCACTATTGCTCCCGAAACTGATCTACGGTCGTTGGCCTTGCTCGCAAAATCAGCATCTACGTACACTAATGTGCTTGCGTCTACTGAATTATCCGGTTTGAATTTTAGAGTTAGATGTGCCGTTTCCAGAAGATAATTCAGAATCTTCTGAGATGCCTTCCAATCTCTCTTCTTTGGGTTATGAGATTGCCTCGCCACCGCCCGAGTAGCAATATTGATGTCACATCTCGTTCGGTTGGCGATCCACATCAGGCTCCCCACCACCTCACGGAACGGCACATCTTTTGCCCCTTCATCCTCCTTCAGGGACCTGTTGTTATCGTTAGCAGGGGAAGCAGGGGTCGAGCTGGTGCTACATACATTGAACTTATCAAGAACACTCCTGATATAGCTTTCCTGAGAAATCTCTTTTGTACCAGCCTCGCGGTCACGAATATATTCGCAACCAAGGAAGAACTTGACCTCACCCAAATTCTTCGTAGGAAGAGAGTCACCTAGTGCTGCCACTACCACCTCAGCCAGACTCTTCGTTCCTGCATACAGAATGTCATCCACATGAATTGCGACCATCCCCACTACCTCGTCTCCCATCATGAAACGCAGGACACAGGGGTCAGACATAGACTGCTCGAAACCAATCCTCTTCAGCTCCGACACCAGCCTGTTGTAAAATGTTCTAGATTCCTGCTTCAATTCGTACAAACTCTTGTTCAAACGGACAACCTTTCCTGACATCGAACCACAGCCAGGAGGCAACTTCATGAACACCTCGTAATCCAATTCCGACTGAACAAATGCTTGTTCAATATCCCAGTGGAGTAATTCCAAGTTGTACTTGCACGCCAACGCCACTACCAATCTATGAGATGCAGCATTTGCGGTAGGCGAGAAAGTCTCAACATAGTCCACACCATACTTCTGCTTGAAGCCCTTCGCTACAAGCCTAGCCTTGGCCTTCACTATCTTTCCTATTTCGTCTGCTTTCCATTTGAAAACCCATCTAGCATCTATCACATTGCAGCCTATCGGGACTTTTGCTGCTAACGTGAACGTTCCTGCTCTTATCAAGCCTTCAACCTCAGCAGACATGGCTCCCTCCCAAATCTTTGCGTACTTTGAACGCTGGGCTTCTTGATAACTATCAGGCTATGACTCAACATCCTGAACCAGTTCTTTCGGCAATTCCATCTCATCACCTGCTCTCTGCTCCGACATCAGTGTATACACTAACTCCGTAGCGGAGATGGGTCCTAGGCTGGCCACAAGGCCCGGAACACTCTGCTGGTTGACTGCACGAGTTTGCGCGCGAGTCCTACCTTCTCTCACTTCATCATTCTCACGCGAAGCAGTATTAAAGTCAGCAAGCTCGGCCACATGCCGCGGACGACGAGCGGCTGGAGGGGGTGCCTCCGCCTCTACCGGTCCTCCCGACCTAATCGACTCTTCATCATCATGCCCTCCCTGTTCCATCGATTCTTCCTCATCATCCCCTCCCGGATCCCCCATCTCTAATTCCCCTGATTCCTGCCCTCCCTGGCCTTCCCCGTCATTCACAGGCATTGGAGAAGACACAGAGGCTACACTATCAAAAGAATTGTTCGCGAGGGACGACGGTTCAGCAGGGGAAGATGGAACAGAAAATGATGGGCCTACACTTCCTGCGCCAACACTCTCAACCTCCTCGACTCTCGCACCAGAAGGCACTGCATCACGTTTCAAAAGTGTGTGAGCAACTCCTCTTCCTACAAGCGGCCATACCTCGGTTTCAACATTGTCGTCACTATCCTCCCCTCCCTCCTCTGCGACCTCTATTGGCAGAGAAGGTTGCAGCGGAGGGAGCTGTGACTGCAACACCTCCCACGTCACATCCCTCGTTTCCTGTATAGTCCCAGCCCTCGTAAGTACTCTATGACAATCACGCGGGTGGTCTCTCGAAGGACCGACATAAAAGCAACTCTCACCCTTCGGCAGCAGCTTTGTCGGTCTCTGCCACCTGCAGTACGCTGGTTTCAAAAACGGATACGGTCTAGCGGGACGAGGTTCACCATACCACATTTCATACGGCGACATAGAGTCGGGGTTAGCAGAACACGCGGTGTGATTCATCGCTTCGCAAGCCCAGTGCATAGCCTCAGCCCAGAGTTTATCAGTCTTAGGTAACTGCACATGCCCAAAAAGAACTTTAGCCTGAATACGAGCCGCCATCGCGGCCTCTTCTATCAATCCCAGCCCACGCTCTGCAACACCATTATATTGCGGACTATAAGCCGGTGTGAACTCTTGTTTGATCAAGAGCTCATTGCACACAGATGCAAACTCCCCCCCGAAAAACTCCCCTCCGTTGTCAGATCTAACAATCTCAACGAATGACGGGACACCATTAGCACGCACACTCGCAAGAAAAGTCCGGAATGCACTGCCAGCGTCTGATTTATTCTCAGGAAATACGTCCATGTACGTCTCGTGAAATCATCCTTCACAATCATGGGATAATGTTTACCCGCTACGGACGCAATGTCCTTCCTTCCTCCCAGGTCAACAAAAACTCTGCCCAACTTTTTATCCGATCTACGTTTAGTTTCTCTAACGATTCCTTTTCGAATAGCCTTTGACATCGAACACCCTGAACAAGCATGCATGTCACCAACCAACTTGGTACCTAGTCGCTTTGCAGTAGTGCGAAGCAAACCCTCGTGCGAATGAGCGTAAATGTTGTGGAACTCGTTGATATCCATAGTGGTTTCATGCTTGGGGTTTGCGGGAGTGAGAACAGCCAACACCGTGCCAACAGAGGCTTCTCCTAGACGATACGCAGACGCAATCAGCATGCCATCGAAGTTCTGAAAGGTTACTTGTCCATTGAAAGCAGTCATCACACCATCAGGACCACCAAGACCATTCCATGACTCGCCATCAAACTCTGCACTCGGAGAAAAGAGATTATACCCTAAGTTTGGAGAGTACAACACATTCTTCAACTCCACGGAAAATTCACTGTCAGCAGTCACAAACACCAACTCCAGCGTTCCAGAGAATGCTACCTCACAAGACACGCCACCAATCCCATTCACACTTTTGTGGCAAGGCTTCAAGTCTTTCATGCAAGAGAGGGAATCAGTCATGTGAAAAGCAGTGCCGGTGTCAGCATACCAATCCTCGACATATCTAGACTTGTTGACAGCTTTCAGGATCATATCATCGCTGACAGCCCTCATAACCAAATCATCCCGCGACGTCATTAGACACTTCAGACCGGAAACATCATACATCATGCTGCTCAGCTGGTCAAACGCTGTTAGGATCACTAGTTCGCTGTAGGCAATAAACAAGTCATCGTCATCGCCGTATTTAAGGTACTCTGGGATGTCAGCAACTAGACACATCAGATCGCGAAAGTCAAATTTCTCACCGCTCTCACCCTCGTCGGCCTCGGATTTTCCAGTCTGGGAGGGATGAGGGATGATGCGAGCCTTGCAGTCGATCTTCATGTGACCCTTCTCCCCACACTTGAAACACTTCCCCTGAAATGACTTCTTCTGGGATGAATCAGACTCAGAGTTAGACTTCGGCTTGTTGTGCTGTTTCTTGATGCTACCCTTCTTCCTCTCAGGCCTAGACACCAGAGCAACACTACTCTGCTTCTTGGAACCACCCTGTGCTAGCAAGTCCAGGTAACGCTCACGCACTTTAGTCTCGATGAACGACGGGTCATTCGAACAGAACACCACAAGAGTCTCACGCAAAGTCTTGTACTCGGGCGACAGCCCCTCAAGCATCAGATTGCACACCTCTCTGTCATCCTTCTTTTCTTCAAGCATCTGCAGCACACCAAGCATCTCTCTGATGGATGCAAAGAAGGTTGCGGGATTTTCGTTGGAACGCATGCGCAGTGACTTCAGTTTCTCTTCCTGCACTCGAATCTGGCTTTGGCTCAACGGTAGAAAGTGATCCTTGAGCGCACGGAATGCCTTGAAGGGGGAACCAGCATGTCTAGCCATGTTTTTCAGGCTGTCTTTCTTCAAGCAGTCAAACAGAAACCACCAAGCCATCTCATTCTGACGCAGCACACCCACACTGTATCCCTTCTCTATCCAAGGGGTCAGATCGAAGTTAACGTCAGCAATCGGAATGTCAATCTCAGAAATGAACGGTTCTACCAGATTGTTGCAGTGACGGGCTTTGAGCAGAAAATTCTGCGACCACGAAGGATACGATACATCAGTACCGTTAAATTCAGGAGCCTTGGGAACTTTGAAAGGACCCCCACCCAACTTCTCCCCTGAATTAGAAATGTCAGCCCCAGGAATCAGTGTGTTTCCACTGGCGACACTACCCCACCATTCGCTTGCAGCAGTAGGCGGGGGTGGAACGGAAGACTGGCTACCTAAAGCCCCACTCCCAGTTCCCGGAATGAAAGACTGACTACCGAAAGTCCCACTTCCAATCCCAACCGAACCAAAGTTTACTGCAGTAACAGAGGAACGATTTGCAGCAGATACATGGGGGTTCAAGCCTGAGTCTTCAAGACTGCTACTCCCAACCCGCATGCCGGACACGCCAAAGCCTAGGGTATCGCCTCCCATACTTCCCGCGGTCCTACCAGTGGCACCCGATTGATGCACACTAGACTCTGCTCCGGTGCCTCGCGGAACAGCACCCGAACCAATGGACTCCACTCCCTCCCTCTGTTGTGTCTCAACCATCGACGCAAGCACCTGCTGTTGGTTCGTAACTAACGTCAGTAAGTTAGCCATCTGCGTCTCTAAGGAACCCATTCTCTCACCAACACCCTGCGGGTCACCCTGATGGTTTGCCGCAGGGTCAATCCCCTCCTCAGCCATGATTAGGTCGGTTGATCAAGCCGCCCTCACAGTCTCGCGTCGAACACAGTCCAGGGGGACGTACAGCAGTCGACTGATGCCGCTATAGCGTGTTGGTAAATCAGTGGCTTCTGGAGAAGAATATTGTATGTATTAGTGAGACCTAGGTATGGAGAGACAGGTCGGAAAGTGGAGTGAGGACAGGGGGCGAGCGTGATGCTCCCAGCTCCCAACGTCTCCTCCGGATAGATGCACACTCGGAACACAAAGCAATGCACCGAACACGACAATGACCCGTAAGCCCGACCTCCAGCGACAATGCTAGAACGTTCCTACTGGACAAGTGTCCAACTTACCACATACCAACGTACCGACTTACACCTACGGTCCGTTGTACGATCCTTACGTGTGTACAATCTACCGAACTACCACAAAGAGTATTCGCAGAACACTCGGCATGACAACCTACGATCGACAGTTCTGCAATTAAAAATATCCAATCAGATGTTCTACCGCAGCTCAGGCGATACATAAGGCCGCACCACGAACACACGGCCCGACTAATCCTGGCCTCGCCCACCCGACTTGGCCTGCAGAAGCGATGGCAGCCTGCCCATCATCTCCTACACCCCTGGTTCTCGCCTCAACTCGAAACCCTAGTCAAAACTTGCGCGTCGTGTCACTCAGTTATGTCCTTACCACGGGATCACGCACAACGCTCCTGCTGCTGCTTCTCACCACAGCCGAACTCTGAAGATCATCGGGCTCCTCCGGAGGATGCATTCTAGAATGTTGGTATACCCTTGTTGTGTGACCTCCAGAGTCCAAAGAGTGTTGTTAACGGCATGTATTATCGTAGGGGGATATGAGGGAGAAGGAGGGAGGAAGAGTGCCAGGCCCAAAGCCAGTCGGAAAGGGGGCCCGCAACTCGTCTCTCAAGGTCTCTCCTAGCCGCCCCTCAAGGCAATCTCATCTGCGGTACACGAAACCGCCAGTGATTTGGTACAATCCGACTAATCTACCTCCACACACGAACACCTCAAACCCCCACTCGCGCCCACTCTGCTTGAGTCCATACAGAGCACGCTCGACTTTCACCGCCTTGCCAGTCCAAACACCACAACCGTCTTTACCTCAGGTAGATTTCTCCCTTCAGCTTGGCGTGTGTGTACGCCTGCTTGATGTCCCAGTGGACAGGCCTCCTACCATTCTCGGTGGATACGGCCACCATAACAGGCTGTCTTTCTTCAAGCAGTCAAACAGAAACCACCAAGCCATCTCATTCTGACGCAGCACACCCACACTGTATCCCTTCTCTATCCAAGGGGTCAGATCGAAGTTAACGTCAGCAATCGGAATGTCAATCTCAGAAATTAACGGTTCTACCAGTTTGTAGTGACGGGCTTTGAGCAGAAAATTCTGCGACCACGAAGGATACGATACATCAGTACCGTTAAATTCAGGAGCCTTGGGAACTTTGAAAGGACCCCCACCCAACTTCTCCCCTGAATTAGAAATGTCAGCCCCAGGAATCAGTGTGTTTCCACTGGCGACACTACCCCACCATTCGCTTGCAGCAGTAGGCGGGGGTGGAACGGAAGACTGGCTACCTAAAAAGCCCCACTCCCAGTTCCCAAAATGAAAGACTGACTACCGAAAGTCCCACTTCCAATCCCAACCGAACCAAAGTTTACTGCAGTAACAGAGGAACGATTTGCAGCAGATACATGGGGGTTCAAGCCTGAGTCTTCAAGACTGCTACTCCCAACCCGCATGCCGGACACGCCAAAGCCTAGGGTATCGCCTCCCATACTTCCCGCGGTCCTACCAGTGGCACCCGATTGATGCACACTAGACTCTGCTCCGGTGCCTCGCGGAGCAGCACCCGAACCAGAGGACTCCACTCCCTCCCTCTGTTGTGTCTCAACCATCGACGCAAGCACCTGCTGTTGGTTCGTAACTAACGTCAGTAAGTTAGCCATCTGCGTCTCTAAGGAACCCATTCTCTCACCAACACCCTGCGGGTCACCCTGATGGTTTGCCGCAGGGTCACTCCGCTCCTCAGCCATGATGAGGTCGGTTGATCAAGCCGCCCTCACAGTCTCGCGTCGAACACAGTCCAGGGGAACGTACAGCAGTCGACTGATTCGCTATAGCGAGTTGGTAAATCAGTGGCTTCTGGAGAAGAATATTGTATTAGTGAGACCCAGGTATGGAGAGACAGGTCGGAAAGTGGAGTGAGGACAGGGGGCGAGCGTGATGCTCCCAGCTCCCAACGTCTCCTCCGGATAGATGCACACTCGGAACACAAAGCAATGCACCGAACACGACAATGACCCGTAAGCCCGACCTCCAGCGACAATGCTAGAACGTCCCTACTGGACAAGTGTCCAACGTACCACATACCAACGTACCGACTTACACCTACGGTCCGTTGTACGATCCTTACGTGTGTACAATCTACCGAACTACCACAAAGAGTATTCGCAGAACACTCGGCATGACAACCTACGATCGACAGTTCTGCAATTAAAAATATCCAATCAGATGTTCTACCGCAGCTCAGGCGATACATAAGGCCGCTACCACGAACAGCTCAGTGTTGCCTGGTGTTTTCTGATGTTGCCTCGGAGTGAGCGATAGCGAGCGACTGAGAAAGCAAGGATAAGGAAGGAAACAGACTGAAGAAGCGAAGCGGCTCCAACCTGCACACAGTGGTCGGACTAGCTCCACACTGAACCCGCGCCAGAAATCGTCACATCGCGTCACATACTCGTATGCACTGAATAGCTTCTAGTCTTCGACCAACTAGCCCCCCCCAGGCGCCCCCCTCTCTTGGGTGATAGGTGTGGGTGGGCGGGAAAATCGATCAATTCCTAGAAGGCACCCCGTGCCTGCTGCTCGCCGGAGCTGCTATCTATCTGAAGCCTCTTCTCTCAAGTACGCGTTGGCTTGCCTCTCGCCCAGCGAGAACACACACACTTTCTGACCCCGTGGTGCTCTTCAATTTCCCCGCATCCCTGCTTCTTTCCGAATTCCAACACGCCTCCACAAGCCACAGGTTCAAATACGTACTGAATCTTCACGTCTAAGTTTGCTAAAGAATTCTGGATCATTATTCTGTAGGCAACAAAGAAAAATCCAAGACACAAAAAACTAATTGAGAGCGCAGATAAATTGCCTTCTTGCTCCCAACGTTTCTGATAGTACTAACCCGTTAGCAACCTGCCTAAGTTGCCCTACTATTAATCTTTTTGTTTTCGGCCTCTGGCCTAAACAGACCTTACTCCATTAGGCATGTCCGATGCTCTATCCCTCCGTATTCCATAACAAAGAACCGACAGGCCATGAGGGCAAACGGCGGTTCACCTACAACCCAATCTCTCCTATCCTTCTCATAAAGCGAGGGTCTCCAGTACGCGCACGCACGGATCAGTCCTCCAAGTGGTCGACATCCTTCTGTGCGGTCTGTTGATACCCTGGCCCGATGGTCCGGAAATGGGTTCGTTACTCGACCCCCTTCCCTCTGCGCTCGTGCTGGCCTGGGCATGCTTCCCTTGTGCATCTTATCTTGTCTCATCTAGTACACGCAGCATGACAGTGAGATCACAACTTCGAGGGACCCCTCTAAGGTCCCAAGATATTCACGCATGCCGTTGAATAGCCCCGGGATGGGTGAGGGGGTAAGAGAATCGCCCAACCCATCGCTTCTTCCCCCGGCTGTACCTTCCATCAAGATGTGACAAGTCAGTGAGTCATGGTCGTGCGTGTCCACCGCTCCATCTCCTCGCTGTCTCGTTTTTTTGACAAGTTCGTTTTGGTCAGCGGGAGAACGAGGTGGTGTCCACCCACCTTGTTATTCGAACCGTATATCAATTCAGATGTTCTCAACCACGGACCAAAATGTTCCAAATCGAGCCCTCCAGACTTTCTTTGGGCAATTTCTTTCGGAGGATAGTACCGAGCAACGCTCGACCCCCCTCCCCAATATCCTGCTGTTTCCACCCTGAGTCCTTCGTAAGTTTTTCGACGTTGACGGCGATCTCGTGTTCTTCCCAACAACGTAAGATCCCAGCTGCTAGAGTGTTGCTTATCTCGCCGATTTTTTCAAACGGCAGTCTGGCGAGGTGGCACACATGTCTCACCACACGCCAAGCAGCACAGAGCCGAGAGTGAGGATCGTATGGACAGCCGAGCCGAAGGAATCAGCGCGTGTGAGGCCTTGATGCTGCTGCTGTACTCATTCTGCTGTTTCCATGTTTGTTTGTCATGTGTCATCGAAACAAGACGCCCAGCACTGCAGCAGTTGAAGACGAGGGGACCATGCCATGTCTCGGCTTGGACCAACAATGGGTTGAACGTGGCTCCTGCCGCTTGTTTACCTCCGCAATAGACCTGGACGTGAGTCTGACATGTCTTGTTGGGATTCTCAGTGACGTTACAACGCCCACGGTGCGCCTGCCCAATTCTTCCGCTAAATATGCCGATCAGTGAAAGTAGTAAGGGTCAACAACAAGCTGCCCGAGCTTTTCACGGATCGGGAGAGAAACTCGAAACTCCTGCATATATTCCCACGAAGAACCGGGAAGGTTTTTTTTCACCATGAAATTCATCGGTTGGAACGTGCCTACTATAACCCACTGATACGCGCTTGTTCGGTAAATACGCCCCACGCCAAATCAGAAGAGGGACGGCGGCAAGACATAAGCACCAAGGAACAATGCGATCGCGGCATGGAAAAGTGCCGGCCCCGGTGTCTAGGACCAAGCTGAATTCGCCGAGAAAATAGGGGTAACGTTCCCACTCCTTGGACGTGCGTGCCGTCCACGTTCGTCTCACGTCAGAATTTTCTTCATTATTGCTTCTCGTTGGTCCGGACAGGTATGTCTATCCTCGCCACCTTCGAGGGCAGCATTCACTATACCGTGGTCATCTAAGTCGGGGAACCTCACAACCTATACAGCTCTTGCCCGGATGGATCGCTGAGTGTGTTTCTCGACGGTGAAGAAACTGCTCGCCCCCGGGACAGTTTTCCTCGGCCAAGCCGTGCAAGCCTCGGCGGCCAACCTTCTTATCTTCCGCCGTATCACGCCAATGAATTCGTCTCTGGTCTCCAGCCCTGCATTCGCTGGCCACGCTGATAGTCTGTGTTCCGTTTCGGGGTACGTGTAAATTTGGTTCGAAAACTGATGTTTTTTGTAGCCAACTCAATCCGTTCTCTCCCAGCCGTTTTTCCCGCGTATTCCGCGGAATGTCCGTCCATGCTGACCACCTCACAGTACTGGGAGCGCAAGAAGCTAGAGAACGGCAGGCACGGTCGCAGCCTGGGTACAGAAATGAGCATGGGCGAATGGATCCTCGGGGTAAGACGTACCGTTTGTTTCCCGACGTACAAGTGCTGTAGCTGATGGCGGAAACACCAACTTACACACATCAACATCGTATTTCAAGAATGCTTTGATCGGCAACGTCGTTTTCCCCTAGATGACGTTCATGGCTAATCCCATCATGAAGATTCCTTCGTCCTTTTCCCACGTGTTTTTCTCAAGGGCACAATCGCCACTAACATGGACGAGTGCGTGGAGTACGTGGCTCGCGCCGAGGTTGAAGAAGGTGGGGTAGTTGCTCACCAGCTCGAGCACGCCTCCTTCTAGATGGTGACCTCCAAGGCCACGGTCCGCCTGAGCCACGGCAGGCTTCATCAGATCGCCATGCGCGACCCTACGGACAAGTGCGATCTGTCCGATCACCTGGCGTGGTAGATCAACATGGCCGTTGACCACCATGAGGTATGAGTCGTCGGGTACAAACAGCCAGTGCAACTGATATCCAGTCAGCGGGCAGCAAAGATGTCTTGTGGATGACTGAAGCATTATCTGAGGCAGTAAGAAAACGTTTCAGGTAGAAGTGTGCAGACTGCATTAGCACCCACCCGGCATATGTGCTCCCGCGCCGTCCGGCGAACTTCCACAAACAGGTCAGTTGCGATGCCAACGAAATTCTTGGGGAGACGGCAAGTCGGTCATGACCGGAATGAAGGCGATCCGAGGACAGCAGGAACACTGTAAGACGCAGGAAGCACCGCTAGGTAGATGTTGTGGCCCTGCGGTCGAGGGCGCCGTCCAACTACCGATTCTTGCTCTTCATGCAAGCCATGAAATCCTCACGAAGTGCACTCAACTTTGACTGTCGGGGCAGGTTTGACAGCCTAAACACTGCCACCTGTCATACGGCAATTAACTGGGATCCGAACGAGAACAGGCGCGAGTTTCAATGAGGCGACAAATGACAGTTGTAATGTCACGCGCAAGTTGCTTCTATTATATTCGGAGCGTTCTTTTCCTCGTATTGGGTTATGAGAGCCCTTCTACCGGAACCAGCGTACTCTTAAACAATAAATTTTCTGCTTCGGAAAGGGCATTATGGCGGGTAATAACTCTCACGCTAACCCTAACGCCAAGCCCACACGATACATGCTACGTTGGCGCCGGTGACAAAGTTATAGGTTGATGTGCAGGTGGCTAAGTTCAAGGTTCATATGCCGGTGGCAAAGTTGTAGGTTGAAGTGCCCACGGTGGACACTTCATGGGCACTTGACGGGCCGCCCATGAGCATGCCCATGGGTGCCCCATGGGTGTCCCATGGGAGGTTTGGCATCACTGTCAACAGTATAGGAGATTGCTCGTACGTAGGTCTATTCGTGTAAGATCACTGCCCGTGATACGGCCGAAGCACCGCGCACCTCAAACAACCCCCTGTTGACATTCACCCCAGTAGTCGTTCGAGTCGCACAGAGTTCGGGTGCGGAGGTGCTAGTCTTGCATCGTTTTGTCCTCTTGGGTGTAAAAGTCAAAGTTCCGGTGTTTCAATCTCACGGTTTCCCTCAAATCAGTAATCCCTGCGCCTCTTTTTGTGCCGTTGAATTCCCTGCTTTCTCTGCAGGTTAGCAGACCCCGTCGCGGGGGCATTAGACACGGATTTCGTTCAAGATGGGCACATTGGACGAACCAGAAGCGGCATGGCTACCCACGACATGCCCGACAATGTAGGCGAATGACGTCGAGAGTTGAGTGTTTTCATTTTTTTCGGCGGCGGCAGGGCTGGCACTACAGGGTCTTAATGTTTTGACGGTGGGCTGTAGGCCTTACATTTCGTCCTCGTTAGCTCAAGGGAAGTTTTACATTTTCCCCCAAGAACGCGAGGCACAGAAGGGGAGCATGGTGGTTACAGAGCGGAAAGGCTGCCAAAGGCGAGAGCTTAAGTTGGGATCTCGAGGAGATGCCGTCGTTTGGGGATAGGGGCAGCTTTGGAGGCACAGGGTAGTGGCCAAACTCTGGGAACCGATGTGAATGTGTTCCCCGTTAGAGTTAAGGCGGGTTGAATTCAAACGCGTTCGATAGGCCGCATGGTAAACTGCCTTCATGCTGTACATCGGCCAGTTTACTTGGAATAGGACAAGCATGGCTGTGGTGTCATTATCGCCGTCCGCAGCCGCACGCACCTGATTCTTTGGTTGCCTTTTCTTCGTTCTATTCCTCGTTTTCTTCAGGCGGAGTAGATGAAGTTCTTGTTCGTCGTAATATTCATTTGGTAAGGGTCCGGAGTCTATCGTAGAGGTGATGGTTTTAAAAGGACAGTTGCCTAGGGTCATTCTCGTGGGTTGGCAGCTTGAGAGGTTCTGAGGAGCGGGTTTGATGGGGTCTGTCTATAGATGAGAATGGGACGACATCTTACCAGGTAGGGTTTTGGACAAGAATCGGAGGAAAGCTGTGATTTTTTCGCGAAGATTCTGATGCCCCTGTGGAGAACACCTTCATAAAGGTTGAAGCTCTCCAACGTCTGTCGAGAACGAAAACATCTTTTCCACATTGGCGTCGACGAAGAGATATCAGGCGTTTGCTTTTGGTTGCAAAAGACACGGGTTCAAAACCCGCTGCTCACCTAGTTTTCTTCCGGAGTACGAAAAAAGAAAAACGGTGGGTGGGCCAAGAAACGATGCACTGTCTATCGAACTCCAAACTTCTGGCAATGCGTGGCGGAAGTGGTGTACCCGCACACACGCACAGAAGATCGTTGGAAAAAAGGTGGTTCTACTCGCCGCCAGCCGGTCGGGTTC